AAACTTTTCTGACCCCCCCCCCCCAGTGTGGATTGAAAAATTAACAGCAATGAAACAAGTGTGCGTTGCAGGTAAAGTTAGATATTAGGACAATCATCTGTTTAATCTAGCTCATGATATTTTACCCTGGTGAATATGATTCAACCATATATGATTAAAAATATATATTATGTGTTACTACTTTGCAATGCAACATTTTTCCTACCATAACCCTAACCCATGACCCATCTTCATACAGCAAAATGATTTGAACACAGGGTTTTTTAAGAACTTGTCTGGAGGGTGGTAATCTACAAAAAGTTACCATGTTATATTGAGTGTGGCGAGATGACAGATGGTTGTTGGTGACAAAAAGTTTGGTGTGGTATCGTATGTACTAGTAGGGGGATCTGGGGTATTCTCCCCCAGAAAAGTTTTTGTATTTTTCCACCCCTAGAACTGAAATGTGAGCATTTTCTGAAACAGATTTTTGGATATACAGCGTTACCTTGGGCGTTGATAGACCAAATCTGATCAGTTAAGTGTACTTGCATGGTATGTTTAGGTAAATACCACAACTGGGTCACTCAGGGGATAGAGAGCTTGTTAAACTAAGTGGGCCCGATTCCCATGATCGCGAGGCGCTACCATGGTTGGCGCCGAGCAGGGAAATTTTGAAAATTTTTAGTCTCTAGATCGTTGGAAATAGCATTTTCAGAGTCTTCTTTTTTTCTATTTGTGATTATAGAAATCAGAACTCTAGACATGGTGTTTAAGTTAAAAAACTTTTATGACCTCCCTTTCTCTGTGTTAAATCTTTTTTGACCACCCTATTTATAAGGGTAAAACTTCGTTTGCCCCCTTCCATTTCCCAACCCCCTCCCCATAAATAATGACCACTCCCTAATACAAAGATCGTAAGAATGGTATCTAGAGTGTGGTATTTTTTACACCATTTACAGTGGTGATGTCAGGGCTTAAAAAATCGGATGATATACAATAAAAAACGATGCATCAATTGATATACACATATTTACAAGAAAAAATCCAACTATTTTTAGCACGTGTACTGTTTTCCAGGGATATGTATAGTGCCAGGTCAGCAGATAACACATTAACATATAAAATACCATACTGACAGGTTAACATATAAAACACCAGAAAATCAGGGGTGGTGCTTGCCCCATTTTATTGGGTAGGTAAGTGAAATATTGCAAGTCATTTTGTAGTTTTGCCGACTCGTAAAGTTTACAGAACACCTTTGAGTGTTAATTTTGCCTAAAATTTTTTTATTGGTTTCCACGAAAGCATTAGACCAGTTCTACTATCTGACCAAGTTTGAACGAAAAATGTTGAAAACTCGCAGAGTTATTTAATAAAATACATTTCGTTGCAATAAGAAAAATATTGAGCGGGCAGTAGCGATTTTCCGCAAAACGCCAAAAAGGGTGTCCTGTAACTTTAAATTAACCAAGTAAAGATGCATGCGTATCCGTCAAATAGAACAACATCAACAACAACCCAATTATATAATGAATTTATGTTGCCGGCCAGTTGGGCAATATTTGCTTCACAGTTGGGCAATATTGGCTTATTATAAATATAAAATAGGAGAAATACTCTCAATATTGGGGGGGGGGGATATAAAAGTTATAATAAATTATATATAATACATCCCCCGCCAGTTTGTCTGGAAATTTTTTTTGACAAGTCGGGCAAAATGGAAAAAAGTCAAGCAAATTTCTTTTCATCCCACCCCCTAATTTTTTCCTTTCATATACGACATTGAGTATACAACTGTATAAATATGGTTAAAATACAAATATTTTGGTTCGTTCCTATCCAATTCATGTTTTGCTGACCGGGAGACAGTTTTCCGACTGACTGACGAGTGTTTTATCCTCTACAACCCCTTCTCCTGTCAGAAATAAACAAGTACACCAGATTGCAGAGTAGAGCAATTGCCCCCC